CGAAGCCAAAAAGTTGGGGTTTCACCCCCAAATCCTTGGGATTTCACCCCCCAAAATGTTGGGATTTCACCCCAAAATTTCAGAGGTTTGAAGCCAAAATGTTGGGGTTTCACCCCCAAATCCTTGGGATTTCACCCCCCAAAATGTTGGGATTTCACCCCAAAATTTCAGAGGTTTGAAGCCAAAAAGTTGGGGTTTCACCCCCCCAGATTTCGGGGCTTTGAAGCCAAAAAGTTGGGATTTCACCCCCAAAATGTTGGGATTTCACCCCAAAACTTCAGAGGTTTGAAGCCAAAATGTTGGGGTTTCTCCCCCCCTGCGTTCATCCCCCCCCCCCCCCCAAATTCTGGGGGCTTTGAAGCCAAAATGTTGGGATTTCACCCCCAAAATGTTGGGATTTCACCCCAAAACTTCAGAGGCTCGAAGCCAAAATGTTGGGGTTTCGCTCCCGAATCGTTGGGGTTTCACCCCCAAATTTTGGGGCTTTGGAGCCCAAATCGTTGGGATTTTCATTTCCTGCCAAAATTTCGGGGCTTTGGAGCCAAAATCTCCAGGTTTGGCCCCAAACTTGCCGGGCTTTCCCTCCCCAAATCATCCTTTTCTCACCCAAATCGCTGAGCTTTCTACCCAAAATGTGCTTTTTTTTACCCCTCCCCCCCCAAAACCTCGGGGGTTCCCCCCAAACCTCAGGACCCCCAAATTTTGGGGTCCCCCAAAGGTGCAAAACGGGGCAATGGGATTTGGGGGGGGGATTTATTTTGGAGGGGGGTGCATTTATATTTTTTGGGGGGGTGTATTTATATTTTTGGGGGCTGTATTTAATTTTTGGGATGTATTTATAGTTTTGGGAAGTGTATTTATTTTTCGGGGTGCATTTATATTTTTTGGGGGGTGTATTTATATTTTGGGGGGTGTATTTATTTTTGGGGTGTATTTGTATTTTTTGGGGGGTGTATTTCTATTTTTGGGGGCTGTATTTATATTTTTTGGGAGGTGTATTTATTTTGGGGTGCACTTATATTTTTTGGGGGGTGTATTTATATTTTTGGGGGGTGCATTTCTATTTTTTGGGGGGTGTATTTATTTTTGGGGTGTATTTATATTTTTTGGGGTATATTTATACCTTTTTGGGGGTGTATTTATTTTTGGGGTGCATTTCTATTTTTTGGGGGGTGTATTTATTTTTTGGGGTGCATTTCTGTTTTTTGGGGGGTGTATTTATTTTTGGGGTGTATTTATATTTTTTGGGGTATATTTATACCTTTTTGGGGGTGTATTTATTTTTGGGGTGCATTTCTATTTTTTGGGGGTGTATTTATTTGGGGGGGGCAGAGCCCCCCCAGTCTGTAAATAAAGGCATCCACAGGCACTTGTTGAGCCCTGGGGGGGGGTTTGGGGTGTCCTGGGGGCCCCCCCAAGGGGTGGGTCTGTCCCTCCCCCCTTCCCCTGTGACCCCCCCATGAGAAACAGGGGGGTGGGACCCCCCAAAGTGACCCCCCCATGAGAAACAGGGGGGTGGGACCCCCCCAAAGTGACCCCCCATCAGGAAAAGGGGGGGTCTGACCCCCCCCAGCCCCCCCTAACAAGGTTCAGACCCCCCCAGTTCCCCTGGGGGTGGTCCAGTTGCCCCTTGGGGGGGTCCAATTGCTCCCCAACCCCCCAAAACGAGGTTCAGACCCCCCCAATTCCCCTGGGGGGGCTCCAGTTGCCCCCTGGGGGGGTTCAGTTGCCCCCCAACCCCCCCCCCCCCGTAAGGTTCAGACCCCCCCAATTCCCCTGGGGGGGCTCCAGTTGCCCCCTGGGGGGTGTCCAGTTGGCCCTTGAGGGGGTTCAGTTGCCCCCAGGGTGGGTCCAGTGCCCCCAACCCCCCAAAACGAGGTTCAGACCCCCCCAATTCCCTTGGGGGGGGGTCCAGTTGCCCCCCAACCCCCCCCAAAAAAGAAGCCCCCCCCGTGCTGGTCCAGGCCCTTTATTGGGGGGTCTCTGCTCACACCCTAAAACAGAACCAAGAGGGGGGGTCAGGGGGGGGCTCCCAGGCCGGGGGGATTTTGGGGTGACCCCCCCGCCCCCCCAGGCCGGGGGGATTTTGGGGTGACCCCCCCTGCCCCCCCAGGCCGGGGGGATTTTGGGGTGACCCCCCCTGCCTCCCCCAACTCACGTGACTGCCCGGAAGGCCCTTTTCTCCACGTACTTCACCCGGTACCTCCTCTTGAATCTGGGGCAAAAAACGCACAAATCGGGTCAAAACCGCCCCCAAACCTCCCCTCCCCCCACCTCCCGAATTTTGGGGGGGCTCCCCCCGAATTTTGGGGGGTTTTAAACCCCCCCCCAACTCACTTGGCCCTTTCCCGGGGCTCGATGAGGTTCCTCCTCTGGAGGCTCTTGAAGCGATCCCGGAGCAGGTGCCCCTCAGGCTGTAATTCCACGAGAATTCCCAGGGGTTTTGGGGCATTCCCAAGTTTTTGGGGCATTCCCAAACTTTTTACGGCTTTCCCAAGTTTTTTGGGGTGTCCCCAAGTTTTTGAAAGGGCTCAGAGCCCCCTCCCCACCCCAAATTTTGGGCTCCCACACCCTCAGCCCCTGAGGTCGATCAGGTTCCTCCCCTGGAAACTGGAATTTTAAGGAAATTCCCAAGTTTTTTGGGGCATTCCCAAGTTCTTTGGGTCATTCCCAAGTGTTTTAGGGGCTCAGAGCCCCCTCCCCACCCCAAATTTCGGGCTCTTGGCCCCCTCAGCCCCCGAGGTCCCGACCCCTCGCCGAGGCCCCGGGACCCCAAAATCCTTCACATTCCCGGGAACCCTCGGGAATTCCCGGGAATTCTCGGAGCGCAAGGATGAGGCTCATCACGGGGGGCTCCCACCCAGCCCGGGGGGGGGTTTCCTCCCCAAAAACCCACCCGGAGGCTCCGCAGGTTCTCGGGGATCTCCTCGCTCAGCTGCACCTCGGGCCCGGCGTCCTCGTACCTGGGGGGAGGGAAAACACCCCAAAATCGCCTTTTCCGGACCCAAAATCGCCTTTTCTGGCCCCAAATCGGCTTTTCTTACCCCAAAATCAGCTTTTCTGGCCCCAAAACCACCTTTTCTGGCCCCAAAATTGGCTTTTCCCACCCCAAAATTGCCTTTTCCGCCCCAAAATTGGCTTTTCTCTCCCCAAAATCAGCTTTTTTTTCCCTCCCCAAAATCAGCTTTTTTTTCCCTCCCCAAACCCCCTTTCCCCTCCCAAAACCCTCCTTTTACCCCCTTTCTCCCAAAAATCCCTTTTTCCCTCTCCCAAACCCCCCTTTTCCTCCCCAAACCCTCCTTTTATCCTCTTTTCCCTCCCAAAAATCCCTTTGTCCATCTCACCAACCCCACTTTCCCCCCAAACCCCCTTTTTTTTTTCTTTTTTTTCTCCCCATTGTTCCCCCCCAAAATCCCGTTTTCCCGCCCAACCGCCTTTTCCCCCCAGTTCCCTCCCTTTCCCCCCTCTCCCACCTTTTCCTGCCGAGCCTGCGCGGTTCCCGCTCCTTCCTGCTGCGGGTGAGCTCCCGGAGCCGTCTCCGCTCCCGTTCCCGCTCCTGCCGCTCCCTCAGGGCCCTGCGGAGGCTCCGCAGCCGGAACAGCCCCTGGAGCCGCAGGGCGGCCAAGCGGGAGCCCAAACGGAGCTGCCTCTGCCAACAGATCCCAACAAATCCTGATCCCAATCCTGATCCCGATCCCAATCCTGACCCCAATCCTGATCCTGATCCCAACCCCACCCGCAGCCGGAACAGCCCCTGGAGCCGCAGGGCGGCCAAGCGGGAGCCCACCCGGAGCTGCCTCTGCCCATGGAAAACAAATCCCAACAGATCCCAACAAATCCTGATCCCAATCCTGATCCCGATCCCAACCCCACCCGGAGCTGGAACAGCCCCTGGAGCCGCAGGGCGGCCGCGCGGGAGCCCACCCGGAGCTGCCTCTGCCCATGGAAAACAAATCCCAACAGATCCCAACAAATCCTGATCCTGATCCCAATCCTGATCCTGACCCCAATCCTGATCCCAAATCCTGATCCCGATCCCAACCCCACCCGCAGCCGGAACAGCCCCTGGAGCCGCAGGGCGGCCACGCGGGAGCCCAAACGGAGCTGCCTCTGCCAACAGATCCCAACAAATCCTGATCCCAATCCTGATCCCAAACCTGATCCCAATCCTGATCCCAACCCCACCCGCAGCCGGAACAGCCCCTGGAGCCACAGGGCGGCCGCGCGGGAGCCCAAACGGAGCTGCCTCTGCCCATGGAAAACAAATCCCAACAGATCCCAACAAATCCTGATCCCAATCCTGATCCCAATCCTGACCCCAAACCTGATCCCAATCCTGATCCCAACTCTGATCCCAATCCTGATCCCAATCCTGATCCCAATCCTGATCCCAATCCTGATCCCAACTCTGATCCCAATCCTGATCCCAATCCTGATCCCAACTCTGATCCCAATCCTGATCCCAATCCTGATCCCAACCCCAAACGCAGCCGGAACAGCCCCTGGAGCCGCAGGGCGGCCGCGCGGGAGCCCAAACGGAGCTGCCTCTGCCAACAGATCCCAACAAATCCTGATCCCAATCCTGATCCTGATCCCAATCCTGACCCCAATCCTGATCCCAATCCCAATCCCGATCCCAACCCCACCCGCAGCCGGAACAGCCCCTGGAGCCGCAGGGCGGCCGCGCGGGAGCCCACCCGGAGCTGCCTCTGCCAGGGGACAAATCCCAACAAATCCTGATCCCAATCCTGATCCTGACCCCAATCCTGATACCGATCCTGACCCCGATCCCAACCCCCAAATGGGGCTGCCTCTGGGGGAGAACAGAGCCCAACAAATCCCAATCCTGATCCTGATCCCAATCCCCAAACGGAGCTGCCTCTGCAAAGGGACAACAGATCCCAACAAATCCTGATCCCAGTCCTGACCCCGATCCCAACCCCCAAATGGAGCTGCCTCTGGGGGAGAACAAATCCCAACAAATCCCACTGGCATCCATCCCGATCCTGATCCCAATCCTCATCCTGATCCCTGACCTGGAGCTGCCTCTGGGGGAGAACAGAGCCCAACAAATCCCACTGGGATCCATCCCAATCCCGATCCTGATCCCAATCCTGATCCCGACCCCCAAACGGAGCTGCCTCTGGGGGAGAACAAATCCCAATCCTGATCCCGATCCTGATCCCAATCCTGACCTGGCGCTGCCTCTGCCAAATCCCAACAAATCCCACTGGGATCCATCCCAATCCCCATCCCAATCCTGATCCTTGATCCCAACCCCAACCCAGAGCTGCCTCTGCCGGATCACAACAAATCCTGATCCCAATCCCGATCCCAATCCCGACCCCCCCTCAGGTCCCTCCTGATCCCATCTCCCCCCGCAGGGAGATCCCAAACGCCCCCATTCCCAATCCCAATCCCATTCCCAATCCCATTCCCATTCCCGCTCCCCCCTCACCTTTTCCTTCTCCTCCTTCTCCTTCCGTCGCTGTTTCTCCGTTTTCTTTCCCGGCTGTTCCCGTTTTTTCGGGGGCTCCTCCTTCCCTTCCCCTTCCTGCTCCTGCTCCTCCTCCTCCTCCTCCTCCAGGAGCCCCTCCAGCTGCTCCCGCAGCTTCGACTCCTGCGGAATTCGGGATGGGAAGGCTCAGATCCCCAATTCTGGGGTCTGACACCCCCAGAATTCCCACTTTTCCCCCCGGAATTCCCGCTTTTCCCACCTCGGTGGGCGGCTCCTCGTGGACCTTCAGCCTCCTCTCCACCTTCTCCTCCTCCCTCTTCCTCCTCGTCTCCACCTCCAGCGCCCGCAGCAGCAAATCCTGGGAAAAGGGGGACGGGGAATGACCCCAAATCCCACCTGGGAACCCCCAAATCCCACCTGGGAATACCCAAACCCCCCAAATCCCACCTGGGACCCCCCAAATCCCACTGGGAACCCCCAAACCCCCCAAATCCCACCTGGGAATCCCCCAAATCCCACTGGGACCCCCCCAAGCACCCCCAGGACACCCCAAACCCCCTCAGAGCCCCCCAGACCCCCTCTGAGACCCCCCCAAAATACCCAGGATCCCCCAAACACCCTCAGAGCCCCCCCAGGATGCCCCAAACTCTCTGAGCCCCCCAAACCCCCTCTGGGACCCCCCCAAAAATACCCAGGACCCCCCTCACTCCCTCTGGGACCCCCCCAAACCTCCTCAGAGCCCCCCAACCCCCTCTGTGTTCCCCACCAAACCTTGTGGGCCTGGAAGGGGGGGTTGTAGGACCCCCCCAAACACCCTCAGATCCCCCCACCCCCGCGGGTGCCCCCCAGGACACCCCCACTCCCTCTGTGACCCCCCAAACCTGGTGGGCCTGGAAGGGGGGGTTGTAGGCCCCCCCCGCCCCGATGACCTCACTACGGGTGGAATGGGCGACGGCTTCGTCCGGATCCGGGTGGTGCTCTGGGAAAGACAACCCCAAAATGAGACCCCCAACCCGGGGGGGGCACCCAGGGGGGCAGGGGGGACTTGGGGAGGGGTCAGAGAGGATTTAGGGGGGTCTCAGGGGGGTTTGAGGGGGGTGGGACAATTCCAGGGGTGTTTTGGGGGGTCTTAAAAGGGGTTGGGGGGGTCCCAGGGGTGTCTGAGGGGCTCAGAGGGGTTTTGGGGGGGACTCAGAGAGAGTTTGGAGAGTTCAGAGAGATTTGAGGGGTCCCAGGGGGGTCTAGAAGGGTTCAGAGAAGTTTTGGGGGGGTGGGAGGGGGGTCAGAGAAGGGTTTTGGGGGGTCTCAAGGGGTTTTGGGGTTTCCCAGGGGGGTTTTGGGGTTTCCCGGGGAGGGTTTTGGGGAGCTCAGAGAGGTCTTGAGGTCTCTGGGGGGGAGGTTTGAGGGGGGATTTGGGGTCCTGGGAGGGGGGAGGGTGAGTCTCAGAGAGGTTTGGGGGGGTCTCAGGGATGTTTTTGGGGGCTCAGGGATGATTTTGGGGTCCCAGGGGGGTTGGGGGGGGCTCAGAGGGTCCCCAAACCCCCCCTGGGACCCCCCAACCCCCCCAAATCTCACCTGCACCGGCAGCTTCTTGGTCTGCTGGAGGTACCAGAGGTCCTGCCCTGCCAGGGGCTCCTCCAGGGGGTCTGGGGGGGCCCCAAAAACGCCTTTGGGGGGGTCCCAGAGACCCTCCTGAACCCCCAAAGTGCCCCCAACCCCAAAAATTAACCCCCACCCCTAAAAACTGCCCTTACCCCCCCTAAAAACTGCCCTGAACCTGCCAAAAAATGCTCGTTATCTGCCCAAAAAATCATCCCTCACCCCCATAAATTGCCCCTGACCCCCCAAAACTGCCCCAGCCCCCCAAAAAAATCACCCCCAGCCCCTCAAAATCACCCCTCAACTCCACAAGTTGATCCAACCCCCTAAAGTCACCCCAAACCTCCCCAAAATTACCCCAAACACCTCTAAAATTAGCCCAAAGCCCCCTAAAAATCACCTCCCACCCACATAAATTGCCCCCAAAATTCACCTCCCACCCCCTAAAATTACCCCCAACCTCTCTAAAATTACCCCAACCCCCCTAAAAATCACCTCCCACCCCCTAAAGTGCCCCAACCGTCCCTAAAATTACCCCAACCCCCCCCAAAAATCGCCTCCCACCTCCTAAAATTGCCCCCAACCCCCCTAAAACTGCCCCAACCCCCCCTAGAATTGCCCCAACCCCCCTAAAATCACTCACTGTGCTCCCCCCAGATGTCGTAGAAGCCCCTCTGGGGGTCGGAGCGCCCCAATTCGGGGGGTTTTTGGGGTTTGGGGGCCCCCCCCCGGCTCAGGCGGCGCCGGAGCCGTCGCTCCCCCCGCGGGAAAATCCCTTTTTCTGCCTTTTTCTCCCAAAATTCCCGACGTTTCTTCTCCTTCCGCCCGTTCGGGGTCTGGTGGGCGGAGATGCTGCACAAAGGGGGGGGGTGGGACCCCCAAAAATGAGCCCCCACATTCACTTTTGGGGGTTTGAACCCCCCAAATTCCCCCTAACTCACTTTTTGGGGGGGTTTGAACCCCCCAAAACTCACTTTTTGGTGGGATTTGAGCCCAAAATCCTCTCCCAAACTCACTTTTCCGGGGGTTTGAGCCCCAAAATCCTCCCCCAGATTCACTTTTGGGGGTTTGAACCCCCCAAATCCCCCCCAAACTCACTTTCTGGGGGGGGGGGGGGGTTGAGCCCCAAAATCCCCCCAAAATTCACTTTCTTGCGGAGGTTGAGCCCCAAAATCTTCCCCCAAAACTCACTTTTTTTGGAGGAGTTTGATCCCCAGAATCCTCCCCCAGACTCACTTTTTTTTGAGTGGGGGCCCAAAAAGTTGCCCCCAGACTCACTTTTTGGGGGGGGTTGAACCCCCAAATTCCCCCCCCTCACTTTTTAGGGACTTTGAACCCCCCAAATCCCCCCCCGACCCATATTTTTGGGGGGGGACACCCCAAAATCGCCCCTTTGGACTCACTTTTTGGGAGGGGGCACCTTGGAGAGGGGCTGCAGAACGAGGTCCACGTGAAGGGGCTTCTCTGGGGTCCTCCTGAGGCGTCGGCCTGGGGGGGTCGGAGGAGTTCAGGGACCCCCCAAACCCTCAGGGAAGGGGGGAAGTGAAATCTGGGGGGTCCCCCCCAAAAAAAACCCTCACCTTTGGGGGCATTTCCTGTGTCCAGAAAGAAAAGCCCCTCGTTGGGCTGCTCCGAGATCAGGCCCCTGAAAAAACACACACACACACACACACAAAATTAGGGAACCCCTAAACCTCAAGGAGCCTCCCCCCCAAAGTTTGGGACCCTCACAAAAATTAGAGACCCCCAAAACCCCCTCACCACCCCCCAAACCCCCTCATGACCCCCTTAAACCCCCTCCCGACCCCCCCTAAACCCCCTCCCGACCCCCCAAACCCTCTCCGGGACCACCC